CTTGTTTGTAACAAGAAGTAGGATTGTCTGTATAACCTCTTGTGTTTTCTTCGGGTTCTCCAATTTCCTCCCTCTGCTAAAAAAAAGGTTCTATTTCAGTAATGTACCTGTATGTACCAGTTCCCGTGATCGTAGAGACTTGAAATTTTCAGGTGGACTAGTCATGACCTCACACTAAATTTCAGCCGAATCAGTCAATAACTTTGTATTTTACCGTAGTTTAGCTTCTGCCAGGAGGAAAGTTTATCCGATTTTGATGCCATTTTGTTTGTTGACTATTTAGACTCGAATAACAAGACACTAAGATGCGTTCCGACACACTGCTCTTCCTGCCTAACGCTGCAGTTCATGATAATAACAATAATTTTCGTATATTTTAATCTATCGAGGTTAATGTTCGAGGTGAAAGCAGAGATGATGGGCTTCAGAAAAGATAATTGGGTCAAAGTCTTGGGTCAAGGTCACACTACAGAAAACTAAGTTGTTCGAAAAGAAGTCAATGGGTGTGGTCATTACGAAGGTCATGATGACCCCCAGTCATCAGCGCTAACCAACCATGACTTTGACACCAAGTCCAAACTTCCCATTGAGCTTGAGGCCTTTGCTTTCATGCGTGTCATGGCCATATTTCTGTCTGTATTATCGAGGTTAAAGTTCAAGTTGAAAGCAGAGACGATGGGCTTTAGAAAAGATAATTGGGTCAAAGTCGTGGGTCAAGGTCGCACGCAATTCCGTTTTTGGACATTTGACCTTTGTAACCATTATAAAAGGCCATCATCTTAGCTTGGACCATTGACCTTTACCTTGGTCCAGTCACACACTGCTTGATCAGGACACAAACCCAGCCATCAACGCTAACCAACCCTTACCTCGACTTTGAGCCAGAGTCCAAACTACCCATCGAGCTAGGGTCCTTTGCATTTATGCATGCCATGGCCCTATTTCTTGTTGTATTATCAAGGTTACTAATCGAGATGAAAGCAGAAAAGAGAACTGGGTCAGAGTGGTGGATCAAGGTCGTGCTACAGAAAACTGAATTCAAACTTTTCAAATTCAGTTCCTGGACAATTGACTTTGACTTGTGACCTTCACCCCATAACCATTTTAAAAGGCCATCGTCGACCTTTTACGGTGCTGTTGTACTTTTGTACCACCCTGCAGTGAAAGCAGAGACAATGGGCTTTAGAAAAGATGATTGTGTCAAAGTCGTTTATCACGGTCACTCTACAGAAAACTAAACTCAAAATTTTCTAATTTCGTTTTTGGACATTTGACCTTGACTTACGACTTTCACTCCGTAACCATTATAAAAGGCCACCATCTTGGCTTGAACCATCGACCTTTGCTTGGGTCCTGTCACAAACTGCTTGGTCAGGAAACAAACCCAGAGGGCCAGTGTTCAAAAAAATGTCAATTGGTGTGGTTAATATTGAAGGCCATGGTCACCTCCAGCCATCAACGCTAACCAACTCTGACCTCGACTTTGAACTGGCGTCCAAACTTCCCATTGAGCTGAGGTCCTTTGGGTTTATGCGATATCTCACGATATTGGTAAAATAAATTATCGCGATATCATGGATTATCGTCTGGTGTAAATTATCGCGATATCATGGATTATCGTCTGGAGTAAATTATCGCGATAATTAGAATTATCGTGCTTCAAAAATTCAAGATCAGGATATAAAATTGATATAACTTGAGGTGTATAAATGGATTAATGTATCTAGTGTATCCATTTGGTATTTAGCAATGTATGTGAGATGCACTGATGAAGTGAGACGTATGTATATATGCTGGGGTAAGATTATTCCTGTAGGTGTCGTCACCTCAGATCATTCTATTCTGATCAGCTGGAATGCCCGGAATACCGAATAGATATTCATTAACTCAATATCTGGTTAACAGACTTATCGGATGTTTTTTTTAAAGTTGCAATTTCATATTTTTAAGTTATATTTTTAAAATTTATTAAAATTAAAATAAAGCCTTAAAATAGATGGTATCTATAAACAGTCCTACCTTGTTAAAGAATAATCATATCAATCATATAATTCGCTATTGCCAGTTCAGAAATTGGCAAAAATATCATTTTCATCTTCAAATTTAAAAGTTTGAAATTAGCTACTCCATGATGGAGAATAGAAAACAAGGGAGGTAATTGTGTTATTATTTCCGGTGTAAATGAGTTTTAAGTGTGAGAATGACACCTATGATCGTATAATAGTGAGTTGACAACCTATTGAGCAAAAGACATAGTTTTGATTTTCTTTGAAAATATGAAATTGTAACTTTAAACTAAAATACCCCCATATGAGTGACAGAAGAAATGTTCTTTTTCTTGTCGGCAGCAGTGTGTGTTTTCGCAGTTTGCCGAACTGTCATCAGAAATATTCCGATCGACATTGACAGACTTCAGCTCAGAAGCCATTTTATTCAAAGAATAAAAGAAATATTATTCAGACGATTTTCCAATGTAAAATATCAATGTAACTTTCAACGGACTGGGTAATCAATGATAAACCACTTCTTCGTTACTATGGCGATATATATTGTCGCGTATAGTTTAACTGTATCATTCCAAGTAGGGGTATCCTTACCTTTAAAATATCAATCATAATTATAAATAAATATTCTGGATGCTTTCTTCGTGGGGGTATGGGACCAGACAATATCAAAGCGTAGCCAACACGTGTATGATAACGATTAATATTATTCAGTGAAATGTACTTGATACATGAGACTTATGTCGGTCAGTTGGTCCTTTGCGTTAAAAACGGCCGTCGCAAAGTCTGTTGTAGAATTTTGAAAATGGAATAGATCTAGTATCGGCACTTGTTATCACGATATATCATGATAAAGCGATTTTTCAGATTTCAGATGATAATTTTATCGTCTGACCTAATTATCGTGATATATCGCCATCCCTAGGGTATCGTGGCAACCTTAGTACGTTGGTGCAAAAGTTTGTTTTTCAGACGTTAAGAAGACCCATAAATGTATCAGGCCGCTATTTCCATCATCCCATAGTATGAAAGTCTGTTAAGATTCCCTAGTATTTTCATACAATATTGACTTCTTACAGGCATATATAATTTTTTTCTCACTTTTGAGCTGACACTTGCCCCCGTTTTCTACGAAGAGTAGCTGTGGTCCGAGGGTAGACCAAAAAAACACATCCCTTGGATTTCCGTCCAGTGCTGAGCACAACCACTTTTCCCTTGCATAAGCGGAGTGGGGGGGGGGGGGGCGCTGCCCCTTTCCTGATTTGGTGAACAGTCCATTTTTTGGGCAATGTATTTCCATTTTTCAGGCACAAACATCAGAGAATGAGACCATATCATAGAAATATAATTGTAAAATGTTCCATAACTTGTATCATATTAAGCTTATATTGTATATATGTAAAGTATTTGCTACAAATATATTTAATTATGAATGCAATAATTAAATATATGTAGTGGAATTTAAATATGATATTGTAGATCAATAACGTATGGGGTTCAGTGGGTTCGCACATGTGGGGGTTCAAATTGGTTCTATGCATTTAAATAAATAGGCGTTAGGCGGTAGAGTGGCCGGATCAGACCCCTGTCAAAATCTCAAATCCAATCAATGCTTTATTTATAAACAAGACAAGAAAATTACAGTGGACAACGTATAATATTGTTTACATTAGAAACGTCGGGCTATCGGTTTTCCTTGCGGTATTTGAAAATTTTGAGTTAAGTTTTCTGTAACGCGACCTTGACCAATGACTTTGATCCAATTATCTTTTCTGAAGTGCATCGTGTCTGCTTTTACCGCGAACATTAACCTCGATAATGCAGCAAGAAATATGGCCATGGCATCCATATATAAACGCAAAGGCCCCGATTTCAATAGGAAATTTAAAGTCGGGGTCAAAGTCAAGGCGATATTCATAATCCAACTGGTCAACGTCAAATAGTCGTTTATAGAAATTGGTGGCTTGGCACAAAAATTAAAATATACGAAAATTATTGTTATTATCATGAACTGCAGCGTTAGGCAGGAAGGTTGGTCCGGATATCGGTCAATAACGATACTGCGTGCGATCAAATTTAAGATACATGCATTTATAATTCAGTAGTACGCACGATAATATGTAAACAAATTAAACCCACTAAAAAGACAAATATATAAATAACTGCCGCCCTACTACTTGGGAATGTAACTACAGCACATATGAATCCATGTATAAAGACCTATACTTAACAAAGACCGATCTGCGTAAAATACATGGTTGAACAAGAAATCGCACGGTAAATTTGATTTAACACCTACGCGTCAGATAAAGCCTGTTGGTCCTTGATAAAACACCAGTGCTGCAGTTATAACACGCTTTCGAGAAAACTCACCAAACAAAGAATACACACTGTGTCGGTCGTTTTTAAACTGTCCGTTAATGAACACACCCAGTACAGAAAACTCACCGTCACAGAGATTTTCACCCCTTAGCGATAATTAAATCACCTTTCAGTCAATTTCTCACCCCTGTTAATTAACACACTGTATCTACAGATTTTAGCCTTGCGATATTAGATTTGTTGCGATAATTAGAATTTTACCGATATTTGCAGAAATTTGCTAAATAAGGTAGAAAACTATGCCCTATTTGCACAAATATCACCTTTGATACTTCTCAGTGTTGTAGGACTGTCTTTGTCTAAACTTGAAATCTTCTCTAATTCTCTTTTTAACCAGTAAACTAAAGAAGATATTCTATCAAAAGAAAAGTTGTAGAAAAATTATTTTGAATGTCACACTTTAAAAAATGTAGCTGTTGTATATCTACTCTATGCCATTTATCAATCTAAAGAATTCTCTCAAAAGAAAAGATATAGGAATATTATTTTGAATGTCACACTTTATGGAATGTAGCTATGCCATTTATCAATCAAAGGTTTTGATTACATGTATTAGGAAAAAAAGAAAGAACATGGTCTAATTTGTTTAATCCTCATTTTGTATTTTTGTTTTAGATTGTAGATCACCTGACAGCGGATGTAGATGTACTCAAATCTACTAACAATAATCCATTAATTCTACGCCATAGGTACAGTGAGCTCAAGAGAATAGAAGCATTCAACTTTCACCTTAATCAAATTGAGAGGCTCAGTGAAACTAAGTTATACTATCAGAGTTCCAGCAGTTATCTCCTACGCATCAGTTATACTCGCAAAACTATATAATCTGTGATAAAAACTATATAATCTGTGACAAACTATATAATCTTTGACACAACATATAGTCTGTGACACAAACTGTATAATCTGTGACACAAACTGTATAATCTGTGACACAAACTGTACAATCTGTGGCACAAACTGTATAATCTTTGACACAAACTGTATAATCTGTGACACAAACTGTTTAATCCATGACACAAACTATATAATCTGTGACACAAACTATATAATCTGCGACACAAACTGTAGTTGTATTCATTAGAAATGAATGAAGATGTTTTACATAAATTAAAGGTTTACAGTATAATACTCTAGAATATATGTTTTAATACTAAAGGTCAGAGTTTTTGAGGTATAGTTTTTAAACCGACTGGAATTGTATGCATTCTATCAAAAGTCAGACTTTCCCATAAATTGTGTGATTAGTTATTGCCCCTGACCCTGGGAATTTAATTGTCTGGTACACAATGTTTGCATTTAGTTCTTCTGCAATTCTGGATATAACACTGCCTTATAATTTAAACATTAAAAGTATTTCCTATATATATTGTACACCCTACATAGAGAACAGAAATTATCTAGATTAGAACAATAAACCACAGTTACCTCTTATGTTTTACATTATAAACTACCACATAGGTGAATGGTATGTTAATTCACAAAGAATATAAAGCCATGTCACTAGATACTTTTAATATGTTATATTGTACCTTATTTATTGTCCCACATCTTTCGAAGAAAGCAGGGGACTATTAAAATGGGTCTGTCCGTCCGGATGTCCACTTGTCTGTCACACTTTTTGGGACACAATAACTCTCCTTATTGAACTAGAATGTTCAAACTTAGTGTAGGTGTTTATTAGGTCAATGCCTTGATGGAGTTCGAAGATGAGCATTTTCTGCTTAGGGTAAGTAGTGATAAGCAATTTGATTGGCTGATACTTTGGGACACGATAACTTTAGTTCTAATTAAGTGAGATTGATGAAACTTGGTGTATAGTTTTATCACATCAATACCTTGACTAAGTTCAATAATGGGCACTTTCTGCTCGGGGTAAGCAGAGGGATAAGCAATTTGATTGGCCAAGACTTTGGAACACAGTAACTCTCCTTCTAATTGAGGTAGAATGTTCAAATTTGGTGTAGGTGTTCATTAGGTGAATGCCTTGATCTAGTTCGATGATAAACATTGTTTGCTTTCGGTAAGCAGAGATAAGCAATCTGATTGATTGATGCTTTGGGGCACGATAACTTTGGTTATAATTAAGTCAGAGTAAGTTCGATGATGAGAATTTTCTGCTTAGTCTAAGGAAAGGTAAGCAATTTGATTTGTCAAGACTTTGGAACATAACAACTCTCCTTTTAAATGAGGTAGAATGTTTAAACAGAGCTAAGCAATTTCATTGGTCAATGCTTTAGGACAAGATAACTTTGATTCTGTCTGATTGCATTGAAAAAAAAATATATGTGCAATAAATTAAAACGTTTCATCTATTTATTTTGGGATTTGGGCGGGGGACACCAGCCTCACTGTTGGCTTGTTATTCTAGTCTCAAGTCTGTCTCTTTCATTACAAACATTTTTGTAACAGGGAAAATAAGAAGTATGTGTAATTTAGTAGAATCATTCTTATTGCTCAATCCTAGCAAATTTTAAAATCCCTTTTAGGCTATAACAGTAGGGTGACCCACCATAAATAAATATCTCCATATATCTCGACAATTACGCCACAATATTTATATATATGCCAAGCCTCAAATCAGTTTCACACAATTATAGTCACTAAATAAACGATCATGTTGTACTTAATAAGCTATGACCATTAATCATGTATAAATAATAGACTGAAAACTGGTTCCAAGAGTCGTCCATAACATCCAGACACTTTTGAGTAAAAGATAGGTTACGTGCCCTTGTTTTGAAATTAGTCTCGCTTAACCAGTCTATCGACCATTCTACGTCTGATTGACAGGTTGGGATAATCAAGACTACTTTTTTACGAAACGTAACAGAAAGCTAGAACAAGAAATTGAATTTAGAAATAAGCACGTTAGGTAGCTCAACAATCGTTTTAAGAAGCTTGTAAAAGTAAAATGAAACTACTGCTAGTATCATGTTCCTGCCTAACCCGAGTGATTCAGAGATATTATTTGTACTAAACCAAAAGATGCCGCTCTTAACGGTACAGTTAATGATAAAGCGATTTAAAAAATGAAACGAACGTAATTTCTAAATCTGCTGTAATAACCAAGAAGCTTAATTTAACTGCTATTCAAAATCGTCAACAATAAATTTTTTACGGCTGTAATAGTTGATAGATTTGTAGAGAATTGCACGTGCCATGGCTATTTATAGTATCATACTGTCAGAAAGTTGGTCTCGGCACGGCGAATATGCACGCTTCAGTGGTGGTCTCGAACTATCAGCGGTGGACTGTATTTCTGTGAGTACATGGGTCACCCTAATAACAGATGAACAAATATATTTATTGAAAATGGCATTTTATATCTTCATCTGGTTAAATACTCAAATTGTTTTTATACGCCCACATTGAAATGTGGTCGTATATTGTCGTCGCCCCCGTCCGTCCGGCGGTCCAGCGTCCACAATTGCTTGTGGACGCTCTAGAGGTCAAAGTTAATATCCGATTGACTTCAAATTTATACACAGTGTTTAAGGTCATGAGACAAAGAAGCCTATTTATTTTCACCGATTTAAGGTCATGAGATGAAGAAGCCTATTGATTTTCAGTGATTTCCAATAAATACTGCCAGAGTTATGGCCCTTGATCACTTTGAAAAATCTTGTGGACGCTCTAGAGGCTAAAGTTAATATCCGATTGACTTTAAATTTATGCACAGTGTTTTAAGGTCATGAGACAAATAAGCCTATTGATTTCCGATAATTACTGCCAGAGTTATGGCCCTTGATCACTTTGAAAAATCTTGTGGACACTCTAGAGGCTAAAGTTAATATCCGATTGACTTTAAATTTATGCACAGTGTTTAAGGTCATGAGACACAGAAGCCTATTGATTTTCAGCGATTTCCGATAATTACTGCCAGAGTTATGGCCCTTGATCACTTTGAAAAATCTTGTGGACGCTCTAGAGGCTAAAGTTAATATCCAATTGACTTTAAATTTATACACAGTGTTTAAGGTCATGAGACGAAGAAGCTTATTGATTTTCAGTGATTTCCGATAATTACTGCCAGAGTTATGGCCCTTGATCACTTTGAAAAATCTTGTGGACGCTCTAGAGGCTAAAGTTAATATCCGATTGACTTTAAATTTATACACAGTGTTTAAGGTCATGAGACGAAGAAGTCTATTGATTTTCAGCGATTTCCAGTAATTACTGCCAGAGTTATGACCCTTGATCACTTTGAAATATCTTGTGGACGCTGTAGAGGCTAAAATTATTATCCGATTGACTTTAAATTTTGCACAGTGTTTGAGGTCATGAGATGAAAAATCATATTGATTTCCAACGATTTCGGATAATTACTGCCAGAGTTATGGCCCTTGATCACTTTGAAAAATCTTGTGACGCTCTAGAGGCTAAAGTTATCATCCGATTGACTTTAGATTGGTACACAGAGTTTAAGGTCTTGAGACGAACAAGTATATTGAATTTCAATGAATCTTTATGACTTGAACAGCTAAAGCCATGATGTTAAAAGTTTTGTAAACTAAACATTAGCATGGGACAGAACTTTATAAAAACCAAACAAATTCTAATGGTTTTCTGATAATTACTAAATGAGTTGTTGCTCTTAGTCAGATTTTAATGTGTTATAAATGTTTCATTACCGAAAAAAGTAAAAATATGCGACAACTCTTGTTGACTGCCCGGACGATATAGCTGCTGTGGGCGTATGTTTCATTGCCTGGCAACCTATCTTTTGTTTTGAGGCTACTAGCTTTTAAAAAGAAGTGGAAAAAATGGTGTCTCCTTACATAGCATTTCAGGGAAAGAACTATGAAGCTACCTTTTCAGTTTGCTACCTGATGAAATGTATAATCTAAACAAGCCTCTTAACATATTTTGAGTCATTTGTTCATAATCCTGGTCCTTTTAAGTCATACATTTGTCTGGTATCTGGAACATAGACGACAAATAAATTATGGCGCACATGGTTACAGTGTTGAGGTCACTGAGAAAGTTGTCCAACCATGGTGACACGATGGTAACTTTCTGCGATATTTCACAGAAGAGTTAACATAATTCATTTATATTCAGACTCTGTGAAATATTTACATTATTAAATATTTATATTTTCATTTTATATTGTGAATTAATTTTGATTGAATTATAAGTGAATTTTAGCTTTAAGTTAAATTAAAGTATTTTAGACCTATAGGTTTTTATACGCCCACATAAAAAATGTGGACGTATATATTGCCGTCGCCCCCGTCCGTCCGTTCTTGTGAACGCTCTAACGCCAAAAGTTATCATCCAATTGTTTTAAAATTGATATATATTGTTTACATTAGCGAGATGAAGAATCCTAGTTAATTTCAATAATTTCCGTTTATAAGTCTAGAGTTATAGCCTTTGTTTCACTTTGTTGAACCTTGTCAAAAGTTAACATCCGATCTTTGTGAAATTTATATGCAATATTTAAATTAGGGAAACGAAGAAGCCTTTTGAATTTCAGCAATTTCCATTTATTACTTCTAGAGTTATGGCCCTTGTTTCACTTTGTTTAACCTTGTGAATGCTCTAACCCCAAAAGTTATCATCCTATCTTTCTGAAATTTATATGAATAATTTAAATTAGTGAACCGAGAAGCCTATTGAATTTCATTAATTTCTGTGTATTACGTCTAGAGTTATGGCCCTTGTTTCACTTTATTGAATCTTGTGAACGCTCTAACCCCAAAAGTTATCATCCTATCTTTCTGAAATGTATATGCATTATTTAGATTAGTGAAACGAAGAAGCCTATTGAATTTCAGCAATTTCTGTGTATTACGTCTAGAGTTATGGCCCTTGTTCACTTTATCAAACCTTGTGAATGCTCTAATGCCAAAAGTTATCATCCAATCTTTCTGAAATTTATATGCATTATTTAAATTAGTGAAACGAAGAAGCTTATTGAATTTCAGCAATTTCTGTTTATTATGGCCTTTGTTTGACTTTATTGAATCTTGTGAACGCTCTAACATCAAAAGTTATCCGCCAACCTGTATGAAATTTAAATGCGTCATTTAAATTAGTAAGGAGAAGAATCCTATTGAATTTCAGCAAATTCCATTTATTACTTCTAGAGTTATTGCCCTTGTTTCACTTTGTTCACTTTGTTCACTTTGTTCAACCTTGTTAATGCTCAATTGATGAAAGTTAGCATCCGATATTATGAAATTTATATGCATCATTTAAATTTGTGAAACGAAAAAACCTGTCAAATTTCAACAATTTCGGTAGATTACTTCCAGAGTTGAAACCCTTGTTTCAATTTGTAGAACCTTGTGAACCCACAAACGGCAAAAATTATAATCTGATCTGTATGGAACTGTCTTGTAAAGGCCCCCAGTTACCTACAAAGGAATAAATATGTGACAACCCTTGTCGACCGCTCAGACGATTTAGCTGCTGTGGGCGTATGTTTTGTTGCCTGGCAACCTATCTTTTAAATATATATTAGATGTATATTTTTAAATCAAGTTTTTTTAAGCATGTAAATGTTTGATTATTTATCTAATTATTATTATAGAAATTTTTTACATAATATTTATTGTAGTGTATAGTCAGATATTGTAATTAGAGCTGAGCTGTCTTCAGAAAAATATTGCCGTTTTGATTTTTATACGCCCACATGGAAATGTGGTCATATATTGCCGTCGCCCCCTTCCGTCCGTCGTCCACAATTTCTTGTGAACACTCTACAGACTACATTTATCATCTGATTGTTTTGAAATTGATATATGTTGTTTGCATTAGTGAGATGAAGAAGCCTATTTAATTTCAATAACTTCCGTTAATTTCGTCTGGAGTTATGGCCCTTATTTCACTTTGTTGCACCTTGTGAACACTCTAACGACAAAAGTTATCAACCGATCTGTATGAAATTTATATGCATCATTTAAATTAGAAAAACAAAGAAGCCTATTGAATTTCAGCAATTTCCGTTAATTACATCTAGAGTTATGGCCCTTGTTTCACTTTGTTGAATCTTGTGAACGCTCTAATGACAACAGTTATCATCCGATCTGTTTGAAATTGACACGCATCATTTAAATTAGTGAAACGAAGAATCCTATTGAATTTCAGCAATTTCCTTTAATTACGCCGTGAGTAATGGCCCTTGTTTCACTTTGTTGTACCTTGTTTATCCTCTAACGACAAAAGTTATTATCCGATCTGTATGAAATTTATATGCATCATTAAGATTAGTAAAACAAAGAAGCTTATTGAATTTTAGCAATTTCCGTTAATTACATCTAGAGTTATGGCCCTTGTTTCACTTTGTTGCTTCTTGTGAACACTCTAACAACAAAAATTATCAACCGATCTGTATGAAATTTATATGCATCATTTAAATTAGTAAAAAAAAGAAGCCTATTGAATTTCAGCAATTTCCGTTAATTACATCTAGAGTTATGGCCCTTGTTTCACTTTGTTGAATCTTGTGAACGCTCTAATGACAACAGTTATCATCCGATCTGTTTGAAATTGACATGCATCATTTAAATTAGTGAAACGAAGAATCCTATTGAATTTCAGCAATTTCCTTTAATTACGCCGTGAGTTATGGCCCTTGTTTCACTTTGTTGTACTTTGTTTATGCTCTAACGACAAAAGTTATTATGGCCCTTGTTTCACTTTGTTGTACCTTGTTTATGCTCTAACGACAAAAGTTATTATCCGATCTGCATGAAATTCATATGCATCATTTAAATTAGTGAAATGAAGAAGCCTATTGAATGTCAGCAATTTTTGTCAATTACTTCTAGAGTTATGGCCCTTGTTTTATTTTGTTGAACCTTGTGAACGTTCGAACGACAAAAGTTATCATCTGATCTGTATGAAATTGATATGTATTATTTGAATTAGTAAAACGAAAAAGTCTCTCGAATTTCAACAATTTCTGTAGATTGCTTCCAGAGTTACAGCCCTTGTTTTAGTTTTTAAAACCTTGTGAACCCTCAAACGACGAAAATTATAATATCATCTGTATGAAATTACCTACAAAAGAACAAATATACGACAACTCTTGTCGACCGCTTGGACGATTTAGTTGCTGTGGGCGTATGTTTAGTTGCCTGGCAGCCTATCTTTCTCAATCTGATTAAAATACAGATCTATATTTCGTTTCATTTATTTATACTTTCGATGGCGATCGGTCACGTCAGGGGTCAAAAGACCGACTTTTGACCTATGACGTCAGACATTTGATTAACCAATCAGCATTGATGTTACTAGTGGATAACCCACAGTTCCGAGCAAAAAAGGTCAAACACTCAATTCGACAGACCATTTGATTGGCTGACCCCTTATTTCAAGCAGAACACATGTTAAATAACAAGTCTTCCAGATCCAAGTGTAGTAAAGACAAGTAAAACAAAATTTTGAACTATAAAAACAAAACGAAATAGGATCTGTGTTTTAACCAGACTGGATTTTGCTGGATGACATTTAGCATAAATATTGAAAAAAGTTTTTCTTTACATGTTATGTACCATATTTTATTGCTTAATGATGATAAAATAGCAATAAATAATGTTAAAAACTCGGGAAAGTTCATTCCATGAAGTTCGCAAACACCATTAGAGCCTTGTTTAGACCACGTGACTACTTGCTTGCTTTTCCACCAGTCTGGTACTGTTAGAATCGTCTCTGCTCCTGTTCAGTTGGGTGGCCGAATGGTTAAAGCCTGCTCGTTGGATCAGAAGGTCTGTCATTGAGTCTGGTGGTGTGGTTTTGATTCGCCGCTTGTACGTGACAAGGAGTAGGATCGCCTGTCCAATCTTGTGGGTTTTCTCCGGGTCCTCCGGTTTTCTCCGGGCCCTCCGGTTTTCTCCCACTGCTAAAGATCCCTACACACAAGCGAATTATTGAAATAAAATTGAACCATTTCTTAGTCCCGAAACGAACTAGTTTGTATGAGTTGAAATTGAGTATACCGAGGCTTTGATTTTTCAAAGGAATCAGTGATTTTCTTATTGAAATAAAGCCAAAATATAAATAATGACAACTATACTGAGCGCCATGGAAAACGCATCACTTAGTTTTTCGTATAACAAAATGATCCTGTAAACATATCTTATTTATTTTGCTTCTTATTGTGAACAACATTCAAATGGGAACACATCAATAACAACACATTTGTACACTTATGGATATTTAATCTGTAATCAACGGTACAAAGTCAGAGGGGTCAAAACCAAAAGTACGACACAGATGTCAGTAGTGCGTGTGTCCTCCACGGGCTCTTATGCACGCTGTGCAGCGACGTCGCATGGAATTAACCAATGTTTGAAAGAAGGCCTGGGGCAAAGTGTTCCATTCTTGGACAAGAGCAGCTTCTAAGCAGCTTCTAAAGCAGCTTCTAAAGCAGCAAGTATGGTGTGCATCTGTGGTCTCCGATACAGGCGGCGTCCAATCTCATCCCAGACATGTTCTATCGGTGCCATGTCCGGAGACATGGCTGGCCAGTCCAAGACATTGATGTTGTTAGCAGCCAGGTAGTCAGGGAATATGATAAGCGGTATCGCATCGCAGTTTGCTAAACAAAAACAACGTAAGTGCGAATCAAATATTTATTTGAATAGCAGAAATCTATCAAATTTAAGGGAATCTGCGAATCAAGCTTCTTGTCCAAAATTAAGCCTGGAAAAATGTTGAACAAACGTGATTTACCGTTCCCCTGCGTACGGACATTTTAATCCCTTTGATGTCGGTTGACGAAATTAAAAGTAGTCAAAGATTAGTCAATAAACTAATTGTAATCTAACATTTTAACAGTCATTCAGTTCACGATCTAACGAAGTAATAAGTACAGACCTTATATTTGATAATCCGGTAAATATAGGCCTACAAGCTTGATAATTATTCACAAAACAATAATTTTTATCTGTAACCATTTCCCTTCGTAAGAATTGACCATGCGTTCCCATCAGGTAACCTATTTGTCATCACACAACATTTTAATCCTTTTCCATTCACTGAACAACAAAATATTCCGTAATCTATCATTATACGAAAAATGTATCCACCCAAATCGTGCACTGTTTTTAGCTATACGCATCAGTTTAATTTTAATTTGTTGAACAAAATACTTTGCGACTAAAATGGTCTTGGTTCATTTTGGCGGGAAAAAGGGTCACGTGGATAAATAACAACAACATGCCGACAATGCGTGCATTGCATACGGATGTCGTTGCTACAATGGAATTTTAAAATACCGTTTTGTTATACGCCCACATGGAAATGTGGTCATATATTGCCGTCGCCCCAATCCGTCCGTCCGTCCATCGTCCACAATTTCTTGTGAACACTCTACAGACTACATTTATGAACCGATTGTTTTGAAATTGATATATGTTGTTTGCATTACTGAGATGAAGAAGCCTATTGAATTTCAATAACTTCTGTTAATTTCTTCTGGAGTTATGGCCCTTGTTTCACTTTGTTGCACCTTGTGAACGCTCTAACGACAAAAGTTATCAACCGATCTGTATGACATTTATATGCATCATTTAAATTAGTAAAACAAAGAAGCCTATTGAATTTCAGCAATTTCCGTTAATTACATCTAGACTTATGGCCCTTGTTTCACTTTGTTGAATGTTGTGAACGTTCTAATGACAAAAGTTATCAACCGATCTGTATGAAATTGGTATGTATCATTTAAATTAGTGAAATGAAGAAGCCTATTGAATTTCAGCAATTTCCGTTAATTTCTTCTGGAGTTATGGCCCTTGTTTCACTATGTTGCACCTTGTGAACGCTCTAACGACAAAAGTTATCAACCGATCTGTATGAAATTTATATGCATCATTTAAATTAGTAAAACAAAGAAGCCTATTGAATTTCAGCAATTTCCGTTTATTACATCTAGAGTTATGGCCCTTGTTTCACTTTGTTGAATCTTGTGAACGCTCTAATGACAACAGTTATCATCCGATCTGTTTGAAATTGATATGCATCATTTAAATTAGTGAAATGAAGAATCCTATTGAATTTCAGCAATATCCGTTAATTTCTTCTGGAGTTATGGCCCTTGTTTTACTTTGTTGCACCTTGTGAACGCTCTAATGACAAAAGTTATCAAACGATTTGTATGAAATTTATATGCATCATTTAAATTAATAAAACAAAGAAGCCTATTGAATTTCAGCAATTTCCGTTAATTACAGCTAGAGTTATGGCCCTTGTTTCACTTTGTTGAATATTGTGAACGCTTTAATGACAAAAGTTATCATCCGATAACTGTAATATGCTGTAATAGAACTAAGTTCTGCTCAAGCTACCCATAGCCTACATGTACGTATGCGGCGCGAAAATCTGCCAAAACTCTAAAACTACATTGACGCAACGTGTCATGTGACGATACGGATACGTCATACGGATAGGAACCAGCGGCTGCCAGGCTGGATACGCCCACATTTTCGAGAGATGGATAGAGAACAAGCTAAAAAGAAAGTGATTTTTCCTACAATCAAAGGCCATAATTCAGGAAATTACAATTCGATATGCGCAAATATCGACAGGAACCAAGATCTTTGGGTTATAAACTTACATTTCAAGTTTCAACAAAATTGGATAAAAATTGTGACCTCTATAGGGTCCATAACCTTGATATACCGTATTTTTACGCTATTTGAGAACGAACGGCAGCCATTTTGTCTGTCAGTTTTCACAAAATTCAAATTTGGTCATCCTTAGGGTGTAACGGTGATATAATAATACGGTTTTTTAAATCGGATAAAAATTATGACCTCTATAGGGTCCACAAGCTAAAAACGCGATATTTCGTACAATCAGGGGCCATAATTCAGGAAGTTAGGGTCCGACATGCGCGAATACCGAAAGGAACCGAGATCTTTGGGTTATAAACTTACATTTCAAGTTTCAACAAAATCGGATAAAAATTGTGACCTCTATAGGGTCCACAAGCTAAAAACATGATTTTTCGTACAAACAGGGGCCATACTCCATGAAGTTTCGATCTGATACATGCCAATATCGAAAGCAGCCGAGATCTTTTGGAGATAAACCTATATTTCAAGTTTCGTCAAAATCGGATAAGAGTTGTGACCTGTAGGGTGTCCGGACGGACAGGGGCGACGACAATATACGTCCACATGAAAATGTGGGCGTATAAAAATTCCACTTGCCAAAAGTCCCTATTAACTCTCTATGTTGTCGTATCGAGTTATACCACCGCAGAGTTCCTAGCACCCTGATTCGAGGTGGAGTTTGTGGGTTCAATAAACAACGGGTACGCCCACGCTGCATCAAAAAACGACCCAAACCAGCTTTGGTGGGAAAATGTTTTTTGTTTCACGGAATCAAGAGATGAATAAACTACTAGAATACAAAATTACAGAAGGCTTCTATGCTGGCGTTTCGAGATATATCACCGAAAACATACTAAAACTATGGGGGAATCAGGTTAGTGTAGGCTCACTGCGCATGCAATAACTTCTGAACTAGCTTTGGTGGCTTCGAAATCTTTATTTCCCCAAATCGACAGACGGATAAGGTATAAGTATGCCAAATTTAATTAACTTTCTGTGTTGGCGTATCGAGTTATACCACCGCAAAGTTCCCAGCACCCGAATTCGAGGCGGCGTTCGTGGGTTCAATAAACACGGAGTACGCCCACACTGCATCAGAAAGCACCTAAAGCAGTTTTGGTAGCAAAATGTTTTTTGTTTCACGGAATCAAGGGATGAATAGACTACAAGAATACAAAATTTCAGAAGCTTCCTATGCCTTCTGAAAGTTTGTATTTTAGTACCAGTAAAGTTAACGTCACTTTTGTTAGATTTACGTCAGAAAATGACGTAAACTTTACGTTAGATTTACGCCAGGAAATTACGTAAATATAACGTAAACATGACGTAAACTTTACGCTAGATTAACGTCATTTCCTGACGTTAAAAAGATGAGCAAAATGATGGGAATCTAACCGACCATTACAACGTAAATCTAACATTAAATAAACATCATTTTCGGATGCAATTCTAATGTCAAATTTTGATGAGCAAAGTTACGAAAATATAACCAACCATTAAAACCTTCAAAATTATTCATTATTTGCGGCAGTAAATGGGAAGTACAGTCAACCAATAATCAAATGTTCTTTACTCATGCGAGGGGCTAGAAGTTGAGTGGTCCAACGTGTGCACTTTAGATCATAAGGTCTGTTATTGAGTCAAGTGGTTTAGTTTCGACAACCAACTTGAACATGGGTTTTCTCTGGGTCCTTCTCACTACTCAAGAGGCCCGGTGCGAGTGAATTATTCAACTTGAATTTTGAATTGAATCACTTAGTCCCAAAGGACAGTTTATGTCTATCTACCCATAACGAGTCAGAATTCTAACTTGAATTGAATCACTTCGTCCCAAAGGACAGTTTATGTCTATTGGATGTTACATCCCATTTCTCTCTATCTACCCATAACCAGTCAGAATTCTAAAAGTTAAAAATCTAGCACAACTTACAGAATTATATAACAAAATATACTATAAGTATGTATACATGTACTTTATTTAAAAGACAAA